CATTAAAGGCATTAAAATTAGCAGAAATATATATGATAGATTCAGTTTATAAAGAATCGTCAAAACTGGTCATAGATAAATTTGAACAATTCTTTTATGATGGACCTGTGCTCAACAATAATCTACAAGGATTATCCAGGCGAACTCAACTAAAGCTCCAGGTTCAAAGACAACAATATATTGAAGGATTAAATAAATTGTTTTGTGATACAGTTGATAGAAGATTTCCACCGTTGGCAACTGAACATCTACGAACCAAATTTGAAGAATGTGTTAAAGACATTTGCACATTTCCATTCCAATCACCCTCTTACAGCTGGTCTTTGTTACATCAAGTTGATTGTTCAAGACATTTTGAGTGTAGAGAAGAATTGAAAAGATTGAAACCATTTATAAGTGCAAAGATTTCTAATTATTTTGGTTGTGAGTATGAAACCTTGGCTTGGAATAAATCTGTAACCAAAGAATCAGAACTTCATTATCCTTTTATTGAATTACGTGATGATTGATATTGACCCATCAATTATTTTAATTAAATAACGATTACTATGTGATATATTTTATACTTATTTTGTATCTATTTATACATATACATATATATATTTATTATTATACATACATAAACATTATATTTATTTATAGAGGACCAATTTGTGATATATTATAAATTAAAAGATTTCAAAATTAATTACACGTTATATTTCATCTGGTATTGTTGACTCGATCCATAAATCAATGATAATTGTAACTTTATATAGTCTATATGAACTTGAATAGTATTTGGATAAACTGCCATGGTAATTGTAGAAGGATCAAATAAATTAACCAATAATGCTTTTTTCAATTTATTGAAAGTGGTGTGGTGGATATTTATTAATATTTTAATATATAAAACATTTCATCCAATTGTTTTTCAGATTTGACAATGATTTACATTGTGTAATTTTTTATTTTTACGTATATAATAATAAAAAGATGTCATATGAATGCTCTCTTCACGGTAGAATTTCCAATAATTTAAAGCCTCAACTTATAGATAGACTTATTGGAATTTGTGGAATACATCCATTTACTATATTTGAACATGAGATTGGATTTATACCTTCAGGTAATCAATCTGATTAAATGACTAATTAATTTTTAGATTTATATAAAATCATCATCATCTTATTAATTAATATAAACAAACAAATAACAAAATAGTCAAAACAACAGAAGGACCATCTCGTAATGAAGATGTTTTATTAAGACTTAAATCCCATATTGATGAAAATGATTTAACTAAACGTCAATGGTTTATTATTATTGCTATTATTATTGTTAATTTTTTTTTAAAGAAAAATTTAATGGATCATACATATACATATAAATGATATAATTAGGCAATTGTTTCAACTTGGACATCCCGAATCTCATCTGGGTCGATCTACTACCGATAAACCAGCAACCGTTAGAGCTGTATTTCATTCAAAAATTCATACTGGTGATTCTTTAAAATTTATGGGATTACTTGGTTACAAGTAAGAACTTTGTATTATCAAATAATGATTTTATTATATCAACTATAATAATAAATAATTGTTTTAAAAAACTGCCATTGATTAGAATGGGATTTGAATTTGCAAGGAAAGGAATAGTATTTAATTATCATGATAATTTAAAAATAATCATAACACAAATCTTCAAGGTAATTTAAATAGTTGCTAATTATTTCAAAAAAATTTTTCAAAATATCTTCAATTTTTAATATTTTCCTAAAAAAAAAAAAAAAACAGTTGGAAAAACCAAATGATGTAAGTTCGTTAATACCTTTTGATCCAAAAAATTATTGGATTGTTGAGGTTTCAACAGTTCCTATTTTACAACAAGATGTAGAAAAAAATATCGGAGAGCTTCGAAAATTTGCGGAAATGTTGAAAGGGATTTTGAATTTACATTACATTGAACATTCGATATTGCAAAACAAAGTTCATCATTAAAACTGTAAATTAGTAATAGTTAGTGCATGCTACGTGTGTGTGTGTGTATGATTAAATTACTGTGTTGAATAAAATATTATACTTTACAGAAACACAGCAGTCCAAAGGATGTGATTTGATTGCAAGATGAACCAGTCATTAATACTTTTACACAAGGTGGAAGGAAAACGGCGTCACCATATTCATTTATATTCTCATCTTTATTCGCACAAGAATTATTTTTTTTATTAATATTTCAAAATTGATATGGTTGATTGATAATTTAAATAAATAAATAATTATTATTTTTTTAAATTATTTTGGAGAAATCACCAAAACTTTCCATATAATAATCTGGAATAATTTTTGCACCCTCGGATAAAATTTCACTTTCTTTGGATATTCCTAATTAAAAAAATGTCAATAACGATTCATAATAATTGACCATCAATACTACAAAATACCCAAAAATACAACTATAATAATAATTACCAGTTAATACCAACAGGGTAGCAAAACCGCCATTTATTCCAAATTGTATATCGGTATTCAATCGATCACCAATCATACAAGTTTTCTCAACGTTTAAATCATATTTTTTCATAATACAATCTAACATTGGTTTATTAGGTTTGCCACAAATATAATCAGGTTGTCTATCCAATGCTTTGATCAGTGGGGCTGATAATGACCCTGCACCAGGAAATACTCCACCATTTGCTGGATACGTTGGATCATCATTTGTCAAAATGAAATAACAATTCGGATTGTTGTGTAGATTTGTAAATGCCTTTGCTAATTTTACATAATTTATTTTTGAATCAAATCCACATAATACTGCTCCAACCTATCGTAAAAATTTTAATGTTGAATTAGAAGTTTTTTTAAAAAAATAAAAATAAAAAGGTGGAAAATAAAATAAAAAAAGGAAATAAGTAAGAAGCTTACTTCGGGATCAGGTTTTATATTTGACATATCCATATCTTTTAATATAGCATTTACGTCATCCTATTAAGAAAATTAGGCAATAAATAAAAATTTTCAATAATAATAATAATAATAACAATAATAAATTTATCACTTCATTACTTCGCCACCACAATATCTAATTCCTTGAGTATTCAATTCATCAACCATCCCAGATTCACCAAAAACGTAAACTTTCTTATCTTTAGGAAAATTTAATACATTCTTTATATAGTAAGCAGCTACATATGATGACCCAAAAATTTCATCCTATAAATAATCTCTTAGCTAAAATACACATGCACTTATTATCCAATAAACAAAAATATTGACAAATTACTTCATAAGCTTCAATATTTAATTTTTTAAATTTCTCAAGATATTGCGCACGAGACTTCATAGCATTATTTGTTACAAATAATATTTGTTTGCCTAAATTCAAAAGAAAGTACTTGATAAATTAATTAATTTTTTTAAAAAAAAAAAAAATTTCACTCCTTACAACACAATACGTTACCATTCTTTCTTAAATAACTTAATGTTTCTACAACTCCCGGGAACACCTTATTTGTTTGCCATATTACTCCTAATTTTTACAAGAGAACAAGGATATCCATTTAGATAGAAATGAATCAAAAGTATTTATACATGTTAAAGAAAGAAAAACCGTTACCATCACAATCAAGTAAAAAAGTTTCATACTTTTCAATGAATTCCTTATAAGCTGGTATATCGGAAAGTTTGATCGGTTGTTTTGTCATGGTTTTAAAAGAAAGCAATTTATTACTGCGTGAATGGTAATTAAATAAATTTCCTTGTATAGAACTTTTTTAATTTTTTTTTTTTAGCAAATAATAATGAAGTATTAATTAAATATAGTTAGTTTCTCCACCAAAGACAATTTAATTTTCACGTGACAAAGTTTTATTATATACCATTGTTGACTTTAGTCAAGGCTTGTTTACTTTAGCAGCATACGCATAAATATTATTTTTTATCTTCTCCAATTAGAGATAATACAGAAACATGTAATGTATGAACCCCATGTATGTATGTTATGTATGATTTTTTCCATACATGTGTGAAAAATCCAGATCATACATAAATACAAAACAAGAAAATTATTTTAACTCGGAAAGGAGAAATTACATGGTCAAGTTTTGAATAATTTACTGTCTGTGGTCTAATTTCCCACCCATTTACAAGAAATCAACTTATTATTTGAACTACACTATTATTAATACAATCCCTAATAAATAAATAACAGAAAACAATTTTTACTTAGAAATAACAAAGAAAATTACTTCAAGTTATTTCCGAGGGCTTAATGATGGTGGGAAAAATTATGCGGTCAAATTTTAAGTAGTTCTTAAAGTTGAATATAGAAATTACACAAAGAATCCGGATTATCCAGCAATGCCCAATAGTAAAGTTTGTTTTTTTATTAATTTTTTAAATAAAGACAATTAATTTTATGGTTCTAATGTTTCTAAAAGTCGCACTATTTTTTTGTATGTGGATATTTTGGTCATGTTATCATGGAAGTATTTCAATTCAACAGTTTTTACTTGCCCTGGATATTTTTATCTATTTTCACGTATTAGTATCACAAAGTTATATGTAAATAAAATTCATATATACGTTACATACATAGGGGTTATTGTAACACCGCCAATTCGAGTAACAACAACATATCAATACGTTTTTATCAAGAGTATAAACAGGTTCACCTTTTGAAAGGGAAAAGTAAAAAAGTAATAATAAATGATGATTATTCATCAGATCGCCAGATGAAATAACGAGTTACTTGGATTTGCCATTAGCAATAAATACAGAAAATCCACTTGAATGGTTGGTGGAAAAGGTAAGGTACCATCATTTACAAAGTTTTTCATGCCTTTCCAAATTTGCATTTAAATATCTATCAATTCTAGCTACATCAGAACCAAGCGAGCGATCTTTTTTTTAGTTCTGGTAAAATATCATAAACCAAAAAAGAACCGTTGAAATTGTGATTTTAGTTGGCAAGATGCCTTTTCTAAAACGAATATGAAACTCGTGAATATTATTGGGAGATCAATGAACTGGTTGTGTTAGATTGAGTACAGTATACTTCGCGCAGTGAGTATATTACAAAACATTTTTGGTAATGATAATTGTACTTGCATGATTTTTTGGGTTAGGTGTGTGGGGCCTATAAATTGTACTTACTGTACTCAACCTAATGCTACTTATGTTTTTACTATACTCACCAGATAAAGTGTTTGGCATTCAAGCTGCATATACCCATCAATGAATATCCAAAGTAGTACCAACGAGATATAACTATTTACTAAAAAAAAAAAAGTACAATTTATTTATCTTTGAGATCAAATCCGATTTGGATCCGGTCTCGAACCAGTTATTATTATAATTATTATCATAAAAAATAAACCGGATCCCAACCCTATTTGACTTCATTGATGACTTATTAATTATAATTACAAAATCAAAATTATCTATTAAAAAATATAAAATTAACAATTATTTTTTTCTAGCATATATTCTATAAGTTGGCCAATATTCACACTTATTATCAAGTTCTTTGATAAATTCCTTTATCAATTCATCATATTGTTTATCAGAATAATTTAGTATAGGCACTAGTTTTGACTTTAGAGCTTCACATCCAATTGAAAAATCATCTCGACACTATATTTTAATAATATAATAATAATAATAATAATATAAAGATTTAGAAGAAGGAATTAATTGATTAAGAATTGGTTGATTTATTTTTAACTGTTAATTACTACTAACCACTTCGCCAAGTTTACCGCCCAATTTTCCCGCTGGACACTCGCGTTTCTCTAATTTAACATCTATTAAACCTGGATGGTTCTCAAAATTCTTTTGATAAATATCTATCCCCCAGACTAAATTATTGGAATTAATAAGTTTCTTGACTAAAAGAGAGATAGGAAGCGATGAAGAAATAACAAATTTTTTTTTTAGAATTTAAAAATTGGTTCAAGTAGATTTTTAAAAGAGTTGACATTTTTAACTTACTGGAATCCATGAGTAATTTCTGTGCTGGACCTTGATTTAATGTCCCTACTCCTGCTTCCTGGTAATTAAATAATAATAAATAACCAATTTCCACATAAAATAACTTTTCAAAAAAAGATTTAAATAATTACCATGATTTCTACCCAGCCACCAGGTTTTAAAACTCGGAGAAGTTCGTTTATTAAAATTTCGATTTGTGATGGTGTAAGTGACATAACGAGAAATCGTTGATAAACAAAATCAAAATGATTATCTGGGAACGGTAAACCCTGAATAACATTGACTTTTTGGAAGTTAACGTTTGAAGGTTTGATTTCGGATGGATAAATTGGCGAGATGTCGATTCCAGTGAATTCACAATTAAGGAATGTATGTGCCATATCAAGTGAAACAATCCCTGTCCCGCATCTAATATATGAAAATAAATAAATAAATATACTTTTTATTATAGCATAAAGATACTGGATGCATTTGGTTTTGGTATACAATGTATTATTATGTATATATATAGCAGAAAATACATGGCATAAGTAAAATATTTCAGATATAATATGTCAAAGATTTACCCGACATCTAGGACCCTAGATCCATGTTGTTTTAATTGTGTTTCGATAGGAGAAGAGAAATTACCACCCCACACATGTTTCATTAGGTAATGCTGCATTTGTAATCTATCGACTTCCTTATCATCATTTGGAAGAACGTAATTTGCATCATTTTCGTTATGAAATCTTCTGCCGTCGACAAAAAGAAATTCAGACTTTTTACTATTACGCCGAATGGAGCCGATAAGATTATAATTATCGCCAACATCTGTCGAGTTTCCATTACCCATTTATTTTTTAATTTTAAAGAAAAGTATGAAATAAAATGAAAATGTGATGATGAGTATGAATTATTAAAATTATTTGGTGAAAATTGTAAAAAAAACAAAAAAAAAAAATTTAATTTTAAAATTTTTTCTATTTTTAAATTATTTATTTAAAACTCCGCCGAATTTTAAATTTTATCTGGTTTTTTTTGTTTTTTTTGAATTATGCTGCATGTTGATATTATTCATAAACATAAACAATAAACAAATAAAAAAATTAAACCGATCATCCCTTATAAAAAGCAATAAAAGTAATAGACATGCATTTTTTATGTTATTAATTGGAAATATTTGTGGTTTGTAATATTTGTAATAAAAAAAACGGTAACAAAAGAGTGAGAATTCCGATTTTAAGAAGGTTATTCCTAATATGTTTAAATATGATGTGCGAGCGTGTTTTATGAATTCGTGTATCACACAAAAACATAACCCTGTATTCTATATAGAGCTAAAATTTAGACATTGTTCAATATCAAGCTTCTAATTTAATAAAGTTTCGATTCAATCTAATTTATTTTGTTTTAAATATCTAATTGGTGTAACAGTTTATTTTAGGATGTGTATATATATCTAGCGTGATATTATATCTGATATGGTAGTAATGCTAATGGTAATATTATGTTTTTGTTTGTGTTTTATCTCTACTGTCTTCAAGAGCAGTTCTTTATTAATTAACAAATGAAATGTCTTTAAAAATATCATTGTTGATGTCCATGACCATGCTTAAACCTTTTTTGAGACGAAAGAATAAAAAAAATTCTGTGTATTCATTTGTTTGTAGATGATATAATTAGGTCTAAAATGAGTTATTTGACGAATCGTAAACAGATAAATAAATTGGGATGATGATAACAACAACAACAATAATAATAATAAAATTGAAAATTGATTTGCATAATTAATTTAATAGCTTCTTCCAATCAAAATATTCCCAGCAGCACCTGATAAAAAGCATATGAAATTTGTTTCCAATTCAGCAAATAAATACTCTACATCAATTAATATCAATATTTGATTTGAAAATCCTTGTATACGAAATATAGTAATAGTCACATGTCTCACTCTCTAGATCATACAAAGTTATAATTTAGAAAACATACCTTCGAAGGACACTCACTCCCCACATATAGGAATTTTTTATTTTCTTGTTAAAACTTTTTTACTTTTACATTTAAAATTTATAATTCTTTCGTTTTGTTTTAATTATGGAAACCACGTATGCTGGATTCTTGGTAATTATTCGTGCATGGAATTACTATTACGCGCGTGTTTCATTTGTGTGTGAATCAATCCATTTATGGATAGACCAATAAGCGTTGATTGGTTTGTTGCCATCAGTATTTTTGAAAATTCAACCGGAAACTAGCAGAATTTTGTAACAATATAATGGCAATACCCGTCGACTGAATTTCTAACATCGCTTCCCAGTTCATGGTCCTAAATTTTGGGATCAATCCTTTGTTTATCTAAAATTGGTAAGTTTGTGTAATATTTATATCAAACTTTTTAATTAATTTATTTAATTTATACTATATAAATTTTTAAAGTTCTTTGTTTATATTGCAATTTTCAAATTATATTTTAACCGGTCCTTTTGATTGGTAGTTTTTGGACCAGTCATTGAGACTGGTCAATACAGTCCTACTACCCGAGTCATTATAGGATTTATTAGTATTAGCCGAGTGAATACATATTAATATTAATATATACATATTTTGAAAATATGTCTATGTCAGTTTTTTTTTTTTAACATGTGAATATGGTTTTGGAAATTTGAGAAACACTCATTCTTATTGGAAATAGTTGCGATATGCGCCAACGAAGATAGAGATTGATTAATATTTTATGATGGGTTTATTTTACCAATAACGTTTTACAGCTAAACTTTTTTTATTAAAACAATTTCAATTTCAATATTAATATTAATATTAATGTATTTTTCAAAACGATCAACGCTCACTCTTGGAACGAGAAGAATCAAATTTTTTATTTTTTTACAGTTAGTAATGTCGAATATCAGACCACCTTACCATATTTCTATGTAAGATATTGGAAACATGCATCAGAACCAATATCAAATCTCATTTTCCAGAATAATTATAACCTTGGAAGCATATACGCTTTGCACAACGGCACAAACATTTTAAGAATCTTTGATCCTAGCAGCGGTACACGTCACATCTTTACAAATTCTGAAGTATCATCATCTTATGAGTTGGGTGTAAATTATAAATATTATTAATACTTTTATTCTTTCACAATCTACAAGAACATGATTAATTTTACCTATATAATAAATAACAGTAAATGCAGAGTACATAGGACCCTGCATGTAGACCAATACAATTCAAACACCCATTGCATAATGTATTTTTAAATTGTGACATTAACTGCAGCTTTGATGTTAATGATAGTTTAACAACCATTATAATAAAAGTCAATTTCAAACTTTGTATTCCCATTATTAGTTGATCGATTCTTGAACATGTGTTCGTAAACAAAACATTCAATTTCCCAACCAACTTTCACACGCATGCAATTACTATCATATACCATAACTGTTCAACCGTGCTTCTTGACCTACAATTCTAATTGGATTATTGTTATTATTTGCCGAAATTCGTCTTATTATTTTTATATAATAATAATAATAATAAATAAAGATTTTCAATTATTTTAAAATTTAATTTTCTCAACGGTGACTACGACGAGAATTATATTATTATAAATTAACATTATTAACTTTTTCAACACAAAATTAAATTATTTCTTTATAATAACCAGTAAAATATTTAAATTTGAATTTTTTCTTACTACAACGACAACGACTACAACAACCACACGAGAAAAAACTTAATAGCCAAGACTGTTTCCGTTTTAAAGAGGTAATTCGTGTGAATGCCTTGTGTCTGGGGTACGCAATAAGGCCAAAGTACATTTGGGTTTTACTTGCAAAAAGTTAAGGCCAACCCTTAGTTTAAAGTCTCAATCGCAACTCTCGCCTGTGTAGCCGTTGCTGTCTTGATGTCTAGCCGGTTGAACGCTCACCAAAAGCCTAATGCAAACCCTTATCTTAAATAGCCCATAGGCTCCTTGCATTAGTATGGGATTTTGTTAAATAAAACAACGCTAGATTTAAAGTTCTTGGCTATTATTCTACGCGAGCACAGATTACTGGGTTGTGTCACCATTTCCAGTAGTTTGTCGTTATTCATCGGAAGGCAAAGCATACCCCTGCAGTATGGTCTTGCTATTATTATTACTTGGTTGATGCATTTTTTAAAAAAAAATTTATTTTATAAAGCAATAAAAAAGATATTTTTTTCTCTCGTACAATTGAATGGAACAATAATTTTTTCTCTCTGTATGATTGATTCTATATAATAATAAGAGCCGTCAATATACTTACATCCAAATGCATATATGAAATCTTTTCGAAAAACAATTGACAACAAAGATGTTTTAACATTACATAAAATAAATAATTTTTACCAAATTATTATAAATTATTATAACTTATTGCAGTCGTTGGAATAAAGCATTATGAAGTGTGTGTGGTTTCTGCTCCTGCTGCCGGTGTCATTGTTACTGTGTTATGATGGACTCTGATTTTCTTTCTTTCTTTTTGATAAACCTTTTTTATCAGGAATTTATTTATTGATTTAATTCAACCTTTTAATTAAATTGAATTCTAATAAATCTAATTAATAAATTACCATTTGTTAATGATCCTTTGCTGAAATTTAAGAAAGCAGAGATTCCCCTGTAACCAAGATATAGCAATGGCAACAGCAACTACAAAAATCATACGCTATGAAAAAATACCAACTTGCTAGCTACATCTTGTAATCGAGATTTTTTTCAATAATCAATGATTGCAAGCGTTGGAAATCCAAGATAAATAACCATTTCTATCTTCCATTCTTTCTTCAGCTATATTGTTTAAGATGATTAATATTATATATACTGACTTATGGAGTCAATGTAGAAATTGATAATGACAAAAAATTAAACAATAATATATCAATCTAAATAATCTAAAAATGCAAACATATAATTACTTCAATAATTCAATTGAACAAAACTTTTGTCAAATTTTTTACTTTAGAGGCTTGACTTATATCATGGGTTTTTACTTATGTTAAGGTTTTTGCTTAATATTAAGTCAAAAATCTTGACAAACAATGTTAAATGAGAAAAAAATGGGAAAGAGTAATCAAGTTAAACTGTTAATGGCTCTTACCAATGCAGTATTATAGCGATCAGAAGGTAAAACATTGGAAAAATGAGGTGTTTTTGGATATGATTGAGTCAGTGAATTTATTGGTCAACACAAATGGAAATGTACTGCGTGGTGAAATCCTTGATGCAATCAAGATGAGATGTCATTTTAGAATTAAGGCTTGGTCAAAATGATAAAGTGATTTTTGAGAATACTGAGAGGTCTTCTATCAAGAGGAAAGACTATTGAAATGGAAGATGTTACATTCCGTCAGTGTGTTCATCTTTTAAGGAGAAAGTGGCCAGATACTTGCTCAAAAATACAAGGGTCATATTTCAAAGACAAAACCAGGAAAATACGAAATCAGAACAAAGGAAACTAGTTCATCAAATTATTTGATAGCAAAAGAGATACAATATTGTAGTATCAATGCTATTGCTCATTATAGTTATGATTGGGCATAACATGTAAATACATCACAATCTGACCGACAGGTAAGTGAGATCTATTATTATCTTAGTCCATATAGAGTTCATCCTTTTGGAATTCAAGATGAAGCAATAAGGGAACACTTTGATTATGTTCTTGATGATGATGAAAAGTCCTAATGGCACATTCAGCAGGGGATTAATAATTGAATAAAGGCGAATAGCATTTTGAAGATTAGTTGTGGTAATGCTATCAGACAAAACAAAAAAGTAGTATAACTGTTTGGTTTTATTTATATTTAGTAATTTGCAGTTATTATAAAAGAATCAAGCCGAATTTTATGATTCTGGAGATACCAAATTCGAATGTGATGGCTGTAAAACAACTGTAGATTGCGTATGTCATTGGGGTTGGTCAAAATAACGTTTAAAAAATCCGCATATATGAAAATTTATTATTGATGTTGATAATCAACCATTACCAATCATGTTGTGGAATTGTAAGATTGTAAAAAAGATCTAGTACTATTACTATTGTTAATATAATAGTAAAATTTCTAATCCTGGATACATGAATTAACCAAATTTGGAAATAACTTGTATATTTGTGTACACCGCATGAGGGCGAATTTTTTTTGTTTCAAGTGCTCATTCTGTTCGTAATTCCTTCTAAACTTAGTTGTTTTTTTTTTTTCTTGCAATAGCCATTTTTTTATTAAAGAAAACGTTATTTTGTAATACAAGTTTTGTGCCTTTAAACTATTTAAAACAAAAATTGGCCATGGTTGAAGACTAGTACAAAAAGGAATGGTGTTAAACCTTATCCATCAATCTCTATTCATGACTTCAAGCCATTATATATCACACAGCTTTTTCCAATATTAACATAGATCCCAAGTGTCAAGAATATAGAAGATACAAAACAGGTAAATTATTAGTTTAAGATTAATAGTACAATATAATCATGCCACAATTGTGCTTGTGTAATAATATTATCCACTTAATTTGGATTCCCGAAAAATTCTTTATCCAACTCTTTATTATTATTATTTCATTTATTTCCAATATTTCCAAAGGTGAGTTAAAATTAATATTATATAAAAAATATATAAAATATATGTTAATATATATGGTATTAATGTTGAAATTGTATATATTTTTTCCAAAATTATCTTTTTTCAGGAACTTGTTTTTAATTGGAAAGACCATTATATTATTTATGTGAATACAACACACATACACATATATACACATTATACATATATTAAGGCTTAAAGATATCAGGATATCTAGCAAATAAAGTCTTATATAAAAAAAAACAAAAGTATAAAAAAAAGAAAAAGAAAATATTTAAACTATATAAATAATTTAATTTAGATTAAAATGAAAAAAATATCAACGTTGATATCAATTTGTTTATTTTCTTTCATATTAATAACGACACTAATACCCCAATTTAATGGCAATTGTAATTTTGGAGTAAATGCACTTCCGCAAGGTACTAAAGCACCTATAGCAACGCCTACCGCAACAACATCAAATCTAGAGACACCAAATGCTTCCGCGGCACCAAATGATCCCGCAACATCAAATGTTCCCACAACACCAAATGTCCCCACAACACCAAATGTCCCCACAACACCAAATACTCCAGTGGCAACACCTACAACAGATCCAAATAATCCAGATCCTCAATCACCACCACCACCTGCAAAAACAAGTCAGCCACCGCCGCAACAAGATCAACAACCTCCAGTAACACAAATAACTACGTCACCACCATCACCATCCAATGAACCACCAATAACTATAACTTTAACTAGCACGGTGGATCCATCAGAATTACCTAATTCAACCACTAATCCAAGTTCTAATTCAAATCCTAGTTCAAATCCTAGTTCAAATCCTAGTCCAAATCCAAAGAGTACTCCAAGTAATACCAACATTGGTGCTAGCAGTGATAATGGTGATGGTAGTTCAACAATTAAAACTGTAATAATATCTATTTCTGTACTTGGTGGTGTTATTATTATAGCAGGTGCTATCATAGGTGCATGGAAATATAAAAGTTCAAATAATGACTCGGTAGACGATGATGAAGTTGTGTTAAGGGATAGCCAAGGTGGTATCATAGGTGATCCATTCAAAAGCACACTGGACAAATATCATAAAAGTCAAGTATAGTCACAATCATAAACATTCATAAAGATAATCACACACATAAAACTTTTTTTTATATCACATATAAATACTGGTTATTTATTATAAACTTGTTTTCATATAATAATAATTGAGCGGGAAGATGGAATAATAATAATTAATTAATGGTTGTTATATATATATGTTATTTTCTTAGATTGTATTATAAAAAGGGTTTTTGTTTTCACAAAAATGCAAGGTGCATAAAACTTAATAAAATAAATTTTGTATGCATGGTATATTTATTTTTTAATTTTCATAAGCAATCACCAATATTATTACACAATCCACACTTATTTCGCCTTGTGATTGTTTCAGAAGATAAAATTGTATTGGTTAATTCCAATGGTCCTTTATATCATCTGGTCTTCCTTCTGGTGTTCTGAGAATAGGATTTACAATTTGGTTTATATATTCTCTATCAATTTTAGATACTTCTTTCTATCATTGTCGTCAATTGAACTGTGTTTTTCCGATTCCAATGCTTCAAAATTTTTTGTTTCAATCGATATACCAATAAGAGATCTGAGAAAAAATCTATTATTACGACAATGTGATGAAAATTAAAGATAATAGTATGGAGATTAGAGAAGATCCTTCCCATTTGGAAATAATAACAACGATAGTACTACCACTAGTTCGTGGACTATGCCACCACCATCTATGACTCCTAATTCTGACAAAAATTTATCAATTATATCAGCGTTATCTTCACCAACTCAGATAATAAAGTTAAATTTGAAACTACCGGTGACGTTGATGTTGGTGACGATGACGACTATAATAACAACAACAACAATAAATTAATAATTCATCATCGTAAACGGATACGTGTTCGTCGTAACCGTAGATCACTCTGTAGAAAATCTTTCTCGATTGACTTAAGTTCATCGTCGTCGTCATCATCAACAATGACAACATCAACAATCAAAGGTAAAGCTGTACTGACAAGTACAATGAAGTTGAAATGATGATGATCGAATAGTAAGAAAGGAATGAAAGAATTATGAACCAAAACTAGTGTTGGTCGCCAAAAACTATTTTGAAGAAGCAAAAGTCAAAACTAAAATTAAAAGTTATGTCAAAACTAAAAAATCAAAACTAGTTTCGACTTGTGGTGAAATCATTTGACTTTCGTACAGTTGCAAAAGTCTCTAGTGATGGATACAGGAAAACACACAACCTGCATGGGAATTGTTGAGATCAAAAAGCTGGATGGATGTCACTCCATACGTAATGGTTACCGTCAATTATTATTGTTGCGTTTACCAGTACTTAAATATGCATCAAATGTCATTTACTCTATGCAAAGTTTGAATTAATTGGAAGATTGTTTCTACCAAAGATCAAAGAAGAGTTTCATAAAAATTGGTCTAAAGGAATTGATATAGGAGGCTCTTCGTTTAGAATAATACCTACTTTAGTCTAATTTTATTAAAAATTGCTCAAGTAAAATAAGAGTGATAATATTACAATTTTATATATTATTGAATTTTCTATCCAATAAAATGAATTGCAATAAGCAATACATTATGAAGCTATTTGATTATTTGAATTATTTTCGCATTGATAAGTAGGGATGTCGTCACCTTTTTTGCAATGTATGTTCACTAGATATTAATACGTGAATGTTGTCAAAAGGGGTGTACTCTTTTACATCTATGTGTATAATCTACAATCAAACTGAAAAAATCACAATATACAATTGTTCTCAAAACAAAGGTTTAACTTTACCATCCACTTCGATTGCTTTGGCTCACAGATATTTTTTCCTGGGCAAGCATATGTCGCTCTTGGCAGGTTTGCCTCTTGAGATAATTCAAAGAATAAGGATGCCTTTATTATTGACAAATCTATGATCGAAAATATAAAAGATTAGAAGAAAGGCGTCTATCCATTCCTTTACAAATATAACCAACAAAATAAAATAATTTGGTATGGAAATTAAAAAAATTATTTTTTTAATTAATAAAAAAAAGATTCGTCATTTGTCATAAAGCATTTCTCTAGTTAATAGAACTCGAATAAATTTTCAAAATTACCAGAATATTATGGGATCTCCATAAACTAATAAACTCAACCTTGAAACTCTCGAATGGTTGTGCGTGATAGAGACGGAGAATGTCTTTTAGAAGAGTAAATAAAATTAATGTCATTTAGTATTTGGAAGCATTGTTTCAGTTTGTCGTTAGTTCAGTCAAACCTTGTCACAGCGGATACATAAGAAAAAATATCAATTTCAATAGTGTTATTCAATAGTAATTCAATTAATAAAATTTTCAATTTAATTGTTTACTTGGTCATGATTTTTCACTTAGGTCAAGAGATTTGACTTACGTCAATGGTTTTTACTTATGTTAAGGTTTTTACTTACATCAAGTTTTTTATTTAATATTAAGTCATTTTTGACAAACAATATTATTAAATAAGATAGTAAATGAGAATTATTGAAATAACCGCCTAAAAATTCTTAATATTAATAATAAATAATTAACTATCTACCCATCAACAATTCTACCAATCCTCCAACTTTAACCTTATCAGCTGTTTGTTAATATTAATTAATAAATTTAGATTAATAAATTCGATTAATTGAATTTTCATTATTAAAATTACATTTCATTAATATCAAGGTCACTTAATAAACTATCATTGCTTTTTAAATTTTTTAAATTCAATTTAGCAAATTCATTATTTACATCATTTAATATTCTACTTGTATTATATGCTAATGGATGTGATTTGTGAACGCTTTGTGAATTACTATTACTACTACTACTACTACTATTATTATCACTATTATTGTTGATAATTACTTGTAGTTGACTATTAGCAAAGTCAGAAAGCTCTCTGATAGTTGGTCTTTTAGATGGATCCCAATCCCAACACTTTTGCATCATTTTTACACAATCATCAGGCATTCCTGGTAATATTGGTGGTCGTAAACCTTCACATATTTTTAATTGCAGACAAAAATCATGTGCTTCATCATCAAATGGTGGATGTCCTGCAAATATTTCCCACATTAACATCCCAACACTATAAATA